ATTATAGTATAATTATTAAATATGATCTATAGGAATTCATAAAATATGTGCATTAGTTCTAAATTCATATGTATACGGAGATTACTTTATATTTAAAAAATGAAATGAAAATAGGGACAATTTATTCCAACAAATATATATTTTTATGAAAAATATATTTCTATTTCTACATTATATTAATTAGATTTATCTATAAATCGTTACATTCAATAAATTGGATATGGTACATCTTATAGCATTTATGTTTTTTTCAACTCATTCTGCAAATTTTCTATTACAGTGTGATAGCGTATACTAATATAGCTGTTCTTGCAATTTTCACGCATATCATCCTGTATACATATAAATTATGTTGAATATTTTTTAAAGCTAAAATTTATCACATAGAAAAATTAATACTAATTTAATTGTTATAATCATATTTGTAAAAATATAAATAATTTATAATAAAATATAATACTGCTAAAACTTTAATCTTAAACCATGAACCCTGTAGTTATAATAGTCCAATTATATCTATGTACTAAATAATATATTTATTTTGTCATATGATGAATATAATATATTCATTTCGTCCAGTTCAACTTATAAATGCTTTTCAATTACATATATTATTATATTTAATGTATTTTTTTCTTATATACGTACGTTAGTACACCTGTGTTTGTCTTACATTTTAGTTATTATTATTTATCTTCTAAATTTATGATACATTGTTAGTAGAAGATTCAAATTTTGATATTTATTTTAATTATTAAGTGAAATAATTTCTTCACTATATAATTATACGTGTTAACAATATTTAATATATATATATTTTTTCTAGTAGTTGTCTCATATTAATTACTATATCATCATTTATTTATAAAATGTAATCATTTTAATTTTTTTTAAAATATAAAATTCTCTTTAATTAAAAATAATAAAAAATTATTTTTCTTGACATATAAATTTAAGTGAATATTGGTAATATATATATTTGTAACATCATTAGTTACGAGTACATAATTTTATCATTTAAGGCTTATATAAACATTTCCATAGATTATTATTTTATACGTTTCTTGATAAGTCCTGAATGTTTCAGCTCTTTGTGAGTGTTATTCATTACATATATTTTATTTATTCCTTATTATAACAAAATGTTTGGGAACATTCTTAATAATTTTACAATAATATTTATATTAGATGATACCTATAAGTATTCATTTTACATCTATAACCAAAAGGATCTCTTATTATTTTATATATTATTGTTTAATTAATTTACTAATATTATGTCCTTAGTAGTTTTATTATACCTAAACGTAAGCTATTTTATACTGAGTATGAATTCTATTTTTATATGTTTCTTCAGATGTGCCCCTTACATCGTTATAATTTTCACATTTTGTATTCAACAATTTCCTTAATTTCCTTACCATTCACTGTATAAATGAAGCATTGCTCTTATAATGATAAAGAGAGAAAAATAATATAATTTTACATATAGATTACTAATTTTATATAATTGTTAAAAGATAATGTGTAACATTATTCATATTATAACATATATTATCTAAATTAAAAAAATATATATAACCTTATATAAAAAGAATGTCATTAATAACATTGCTGAAGGCATAATAATAATTCCTATCCATTTTCCTATTGATAAGGCTGAGTTTTTTATTTGGATTGTTTGCAACTCCATGTTGTCACTTATTTTATTTTTTTTCGCAGATCCTTCAGTCAGATGATGTCCAGGCTGAGGTTTTTCAGTCACAGATATTTCAATCAGAGGTATTTCTTCTGCACAGGATATATTTTTCAAAATTCTTTCATTATACTTATTTATTAAAGCATTTAGTAAAGTAGCTATACTATTGTTCTTGGATACATATTCTATTAAATTATTCACATAAACCTTAAAATTTCCTGCATATTTTGAGCAGTGCATATCGTTCTTTATTAATAGTAAAACAAAATATAGTTGATCAAAATACTTAAATATTTTAAATATTCTCTCTTGAAGACTTGTAACATCATTATTACATATATCAAGGAAACTTTTTTCATTTATAGGAAGCAGGTAACTATATTGTTTCATTTTATTGTAAGCACTTTCTGGATCTTTAAGATTACAACCACAATTCTCTAACATGTCTTGTAACTTGTAATTGAAATATTTACAAGCTAATTTATTATAATCTTCATTAGTTCCAGTTTTATTTTTTATATGATATAAATAAAAACTAAGACCCTTGCAACTATTAAGTAAATTAACATAATTTTTATTATCAATTAACACATCCTTGCTAATAAAATCCTTACAGAGCTCAATAATTCCAGTTCTAATACTATTAAAATTACTAAATCATGTATATTCGTATTGTAAATATCTCTATAATTGAGGAATATTTCATCAAAAATAATCTACAAGATAAAATTGTATGTTATAAAATATATAAAATAAAATTTTTAATAATATATAAATTTATTAATTTACAAAAAGAAATATATTTAAACGAATACATAGAATAAATTTATCTATATTATTACAAATATAAAATTACACTGTCATTAATAATAGCTTCAAGCATTATGCTTTATTGTATGATTTAACAAATGAATAAGTTATATTTATCCTATAGAAGAATATATTATGTTAATAATTTAAGAATTGATGTTATTTAGACTTCAAATATATTAAATAAAATAAAGTTCTATGTAATATAATTTTTTTTGAAATATATAGTTTTAGCGTATTTACATGCATATGAAACTATTTATAAATTATTAAAATCTGATTGATGATATTACAACATAAGTGTAAAAGAAGATAAATGGAATTATTTCATTAAGGCTATCATTTAGTGTTAATATTTTTGAGAGTTTTGTAATATCTAATTTGTTTTAATTGAATTTGACTTAAACGAATTTTATAAATATTCACTTATTTCATATATATATACTTCTTAGTTTGTATAAATAAAATAAATAAATATTTACAAGCATTATTATATAATTATCTAAGATGAATCAATATTTCTTATGTACATCTGCATTCTTTATTATAATATTTTTTTTATATAATAGTTTAGGATTCATATGATAGCTTAGTTTTCAGGTTACAGAAAATTGGTTTATGGCTTACTGTATAAGTTTAGAATTAAGATTAATTATTCTGAGCTCTGGTTTTATTATTATGCTAAATTTATATATATTTTTATAAAGTAATATAATAAATATATTATTATATATATGTTATATGTAATTTTTATTAGCTTATATATAGATTTTCTAATCTAACCATGCGTTTCTATTATAATATTAGATATATTAGTATTTATTTATTGTAATGAAATATATATAATTATTACACATTTATATTTATAATTATTTATATTAATTTGCTTTTATATATATAACTATTTTTAATATACTAATTTTATTGTAATTTAAAATTGCTAAATAATTTGCATTATCAATTGACGACATTTTTATAATCCTATTTTGCTTAAGCTTATGCAATTGTATGTATTATTGTATTATTTCTGATATATAATTATATTATAATATAACATAAATACTTAATATTATAGGAGCAGCCAATTTTTTATCGTCATCAATTTTAAAGAATTATTCATTATTTATCTTTAATGTATTAACGTACTCCTTTATATATATATATTATATTTATTATAACAATAGATACAAATGTGTTTTCACATTGATATGATTATCGTTATTTTGTAGTAAATCATAATAGTATTTAAGTTTTAGGATCAGAGTTCAGGGCTTAGGGGGTTTTGTGTTTCTAGTTTTTCGTTTTATTTATATTGCTTGTTTGCTTATGTTAATAGATTTTATTTTTGGTATTTATATATGTTTGTAGCATATTTTTTGTTATATTTTTTCTTTATTTTTTTTAATTATGAATTTTGTAATTTATTTTATCAATATATATATATATATATATATTTCATTCTTGTATTCCATTTGTCATTTCTAAATATTCTTTTTATTTTCGTATATCTGATATTACTTATAATGATATTTGATATATTTTTTTTAATTGATTAATTCGTTACAGAATATGGTAATGTATAAAAGCATCTCTATCAATTTAAAAATTATATGTATCATTGTTATATATGTTATTATTAGTAATAGATAATATAATATTCAATCTGTGATTCTATAATTTATTTTACATATATTGTGATTAAATAGTACTTATTTGTTGTACCATTTAATGATTTTTGCCAAAAAAATTAAACGATATAAACATGGAATCTAGAATAATATAAAATTAGAGATATTATTAATTTATCAAATAACACGTAATTATATTTACAATATACAAATGATAAAATGGAAAATTGTAGGTTTCATGATTATATGTATATTCTTATTACATTAACCAAAGATCACATATTGCATATATTATACAACTTAAATAAAATTTAAAAATACATGCTTAATAATACATTATTATATCTGTTTTAAATAATAACTATAAAAAAAAATCTCGATATAATCATTGTAGAACATAGTTCAGTAAAAAAAAACATATTATATTTTTGAAGAGAATAATTTGATACTTATATTATATTAATTTATTATGGAGCGATTATATTATTAAATTTACATAATTTTCAAAATATGAAAAATACATTGAATCATATTTTATATATTAATATATGCATTCTAATTATAAATACATAATATCAACATTGTTAAAAAAAATATAAAACTATCCTTATGAATACTGCATATAATTAATATTCCAATAATATACACTTTTATAGCATTGAAATTTGACTACGTATCCATTTAATCTTAGAAAGAAATCAATAAAATACGAATATAAGGGAATTGATATGTCATTTATTCAGTAATTAGGAACTAAAAAAAATAATTATATTACCTATATAATTAATAGTACATAAGCAAAACGTAGGTATTATATTATGTACATATATATTTTGTAATAATTTCTAATAGTTTATTAGATATATAGGTTTATAATGGTCTAAAATATAATTTATAATAGGATTTGTTTGTTTAATACATATATATGTATATGAAAATTATGCTACTCCATTGTTCTCAATATATATTCATATAATACAAAAACAAATAATTAGTATATATGTATGCGTAAGCATAGTATATAAT